GCAATATTGGGGCAAAAAATCGCAATTAGATTATTTTCCATAATCGTTCAGCCCGATTAATCTCAGTTTAATGATCTAATCCAGCTGCAGAGTTACTGGAGTTCTAACCCAGCTGTAGGAAACTGTCAGGAACACTGATAACTAGTGGTGCAACGGATCAAATATCTCATGGTTCGGATCGGATCAACGGTTTTAAGTCACGGATCGGATTTTCAGATCAGCAAAAAAAAGGAAAAAAAAGACCATTTACTTATTTAAGTATTTTTTCCTATTAAAAAACATTCAGCTCAAGACTCATTCCATTCACTTATATAAAAATAAATTAAGGTGCAATATGGACTTTATGGACAATACTGGGCATCCTCTGCACACGGTCATAAACAACCAGAGGAGTCTGTTCAGCGAGAGGTTGCTTCTCCCAAAGTCAAGGATGAGCAGACTTAAAAACTCCTTTGTCCCACATGCTATCAAACTGTTTAACTCCTCGCTGGATGGGAGAGGGAGGGGAAACAGGGGGACAAAGGAGAGGGGGGACAAGTAAGCTGTAGTGCCTTTTCCCTGTGCAATAGTTTTTGTTAACATCCAACGGTGTAATAGACTCACAATACTTGAAATGTGCCGTTCCCTTGTATTCTTATTCCTATTTATCCCTTTTGTATACTCTGTATTTATGTATGTGTATATGTGGTATATTTCTGCTCACATTCTGCAACTTCTGTCTGTGCTGTGCTACTGGAAACTGAATTTCCCAGAGGAACCCATGGGATTAATAAAGTTTCACCTAATCTAATCTAATCTATAGGGCAGTACAGGGTTTTGTATCTACCACTCCGCTGTGATATAATGAGTGGTCACGGTCATGTGGCTTTCCGTTGCCCTGGAGCTCCACCCATTTGTAGTTAGGGCAACAGAAGATGCCTGGGACAGTTCAGCTGTAACTTTAAATTTTTCCTGCTTATACATGCTTGGAACGATCTTGTCACAGAAGTGGACACTCAGCGTGGCTCAAGCACGTTCATCATAGTTTAACCCCTTGTTTTGCACAACGGAGTACGGCCTCACGTCTGCAGCTAAACACCTCAGTAGCTTTTGTAATAGCTTTAGCCCAGTTGGATTGGGCAGCAAAGGGCTGCTTAAATGCCGCAAAGTCCTCTGCTCCTCCACTTGGACCGCTAGCGCTGACCATAACTACCGCTTGACAGACTGACCACCATATACATACTTTTCACGTGTGTGCCGAACCGTGGAGTGGGATCGGTTCGGATTACGGATCAACCGTGATCCGTTGCACCACTACTGATAACAGCCTCCTGCTGAGCTGAGTGAGCATCTCACCACCTCACGTCTAACTCTCCGTTAGCTGTGGTTCTAAGATTGTTCATGCAGGCTCGGCACCACAAACTCCTGAATCCGCTCTGACGAATTACACTCAGTCCCACTCAGCGTTCATGAAACTGTCATACTTTTATGTCTCTGGTCCGTCTGTGAAGCTCCGCCCTCTCCCTTGTTACTGCCACAAGCTTCAAATGTGAGCAATGACCCAACCTTAGCAGAGATGAAGTGAGGACCAGACAAATTGTGGTCAAGAGCGCGACGTGGGGAAGTGCTCGACCTCAGGCTGTTCTGTTTTGACATAGTCAAAAGTACGCTTCTAGATTCTGTTTCTTTCTTCTTTTCCTCCCCTTCGTTCCAAATCCTCATTTCATCCCCCTCTTTAAGTCTAAAACCAGAAGCCCAGGCACGAGTCAGCCAATCAGAACATTTTGATTCATTTCAGTTTCAATGTTGAGAAACAAAACTTCTGTTTTTGGTTTTTATGGGAATATTTCTGTGAGCGTCTCTTCTGCTCGCTGAATGAGCCGCATGTCAGAGACTTCCTGTCCAGCTTGACAATGCGACAAACATTGTCCGTATGCAGGGTTTGGGTCCATCCGTCCGTCGTGGCTCAGACTCGCAAGGGTTAACAAACAGAGTCCGGGTTTCTTTGGGTTTGTGCGTCGTGGAATCCGGCCCGTCTACCTGTCTCTCTTTCTTCCTGCTGGCAGATCCGTTACACTGATCTCACCTCCAGCCAACCTCTGTCGCTCTGAAACCTAATCTGGCTTCATCCACCCCCCCACACCACCCCGCCTTCACGACTCCTCCACCTCTCAGGCAGGGAGAGCAGCAGAGGCGTGGGGCTAAATCTAGCCTGAGTATAAGAGGCTAATGATGCAAGGATGGAAATACGCACGTTAAGCTGTCCAGTCTTTACCAGACTCGACAGGCTGGACCTGTGCTAACACTCTTCCTGTTGTCCCGTCCTGCCCTCAGGTAAATTATATCCACCTGAGCTGAAGAGCCATCCTTGAGACACAGCCTGGCAGTCGCTGGACTTATTGACTGGGCTTCCTGGGATGTAGGCAGATCCAGTAAGACTTCAGATTAGCAGTAAAGGCTAAATCCGACTATTCTTGGGGCTGATGGGTACAAGTCTGAGACGGGGGGGGGGGGGGGGGCAGGTGTTTTTTAATTACACCCATAAACAGAAAATCAAAGCCCTGCAACAGTAGAGAACACCTGGACCCAAAGTGTGAACATTCAGACAGTGTGGAGTGACAGCGAGGTGCAGAACGGTGATGGAGCGAGGAAAACGAAGGCGAGCGGCTGGCGGAGTTGGCTCTGCGGGGCTGCTGGGTAATGGGATCTGAGGGGGAGGGCCGATTTAAAGCTCAGGTATAAGAGTGTTGGTGGCAGCTGAGATAGCATGGAGGCCGAGTAGGGCTGCTCAATTAATCAAATTTTAATCACGATTATGATCTGGGCTTTCAACGATCATTAAAAATGACTGAGCCGATTATTAGCCCCTCCCTCATTTATCCGCGACACATTAAAGGCCGGTCCGTGAAAATATTGTCGGGCATAAACCGGTCCGTGGCGCAAAAAAGGTTGGAGACCGCTGATTAAGAGGACCCGAGGGAAGCTCGGAAAGCTAAGCAGAAGTTATTTGGAGAGGAGAGTGACTGCCGTTGGTTGAAAAGAGAGGTTAAAAAAAAAAAACTTCAGTGGTGTTGCACACTATTTTATATTATTTTTTAAAGTCATTGAAGCCGGTCAGAGCAGCACGCTCCGTTTTGTGTAACTATTTTTAAATCCCTGTAGAACCTGAACCACGTAAGCTAGCGCAATAATTTGTTTTGCATATGAAACTGGAGGAGTTGTACTTGCATCTTATGCCATCAGCTTGTCCTAGGTCACGGTTTCCTTCCACATAAAGCTTTGCAAAAATTGCATAAAAAGCGCTTGCAGGAACAAAAACATAATATTCCAGAAACACGCTTTGCCGATCCGATCAGCTGTTTGTAACACTTCCCACAGTGAAACAGACGTCAGCGCGAACTATCAAATGTCCGCCATTTCCTCCCCGAAACCGGAAGTGACATCATTTTCGCGGAAATGTAGTTTTTTACTTGTAGGCCTTAAAAGCCTATACTGGTCATGTTTGACTTTTCTGAATAGTTTCTGGGATACTTAGAACTTGTATTGCACTGCTGGAAATAGTTTATTTTGATGCACCTGCTGTTTTCTTTGCAAATTTGCATCATAGGATTGTTTTTTCGTTTTTCCTGCAGTGTATATAAAAATTGGTGTATCTCCAAAATAAAACTATGAAGACACTCAAAATACATTTCCTGTTGTTGTAAACTATTTTTTCCAACTTTTTTGTATTTAAAGTTTTGAGGGATAAACCTCTTAAATTTCTCCAAGTATAAATATATGTAAAAAAACCAAAAACGATTTTCAATTTTTTTGTAGTTTATTAATTAATGTAGTTACTATGGACTTAATGCATACATATTATTAAAATATGGGCTATAACTTGAAATGCTCCCACAAATGTCACTACAACATGTAAAAAAATAACATAAGCTCTGGCGGACTTGGTTCTATAGTAGGTCTTAAAGGGTTAAATAAATATCGTCAAATAATCGAGATCTCAATTTCAGTGAAAATAATCGTGATTATCATTTTTGCCATAATCGAGCAGCCCTAAGGCCGAGCCAGCTCAGTTCATTCAGGCGGCGCCTCGAAAGCGAGAACAGAGCAGAGAGAAAGAGAACGAGAAAGAACACCCGCGGTGATGAAAGAGGAGAGTCGGCCACACTGAACTGAACTGGTTTCACTTCCAGTTGAACACACAGAGACGCTCCAATGGACCGTCGGCACAGCTAAACATGGAGAGGAAGGCCTCATCGTGATAAATTAAAGAAACATGAAGTTAAGCTTAGACAGAGTGTCCTCTGTATCCTCCACAGTTTCCCTTTCAGAGACCTGTGCTGATTGAAGTGCCACTGAGCACGCTTTATCCCTCAGTGTCTACGCACTTCTAGTCTCAGGTGTCCGGCCATCCCAGTATCTCATTCCAGAGCGCTGTAGCTCGCCCTTTAGCTGCTCTCCATCCATCAGCCCAACCAGTTTTCAAGATGAAAACTGGAATTCAGTTTTCCAGATGAAATTACTTTATTTAATCTTATACCTCAGGGTTTTACTGTGAAATATACACAACAGCAGCTGTATATTTTACCTGCCCTGTTTCTGAGCCCCGCCCCGGTCTCCTCTCACCTAGTTTCCTACAGCTCATTATTTAACCTCTCACCTGTGAAGCTGTACCTGCACCTGCTTCCATCATGTCTGCGAGGTCTTCAGGGATCAGAGGATCTGACAGGCTCCTCAAAGCTGTGCTAGCCATTAGTGGAGCTGATCCCTGCCATACAAACACACCCGACCCAAGCTCATCCACCTCCCTGTGCTCCTACAGCATTGCCTCCACCCCTCCTCCTCCTCTTACTTCATGCAGTCCACATGCTTGTTTTTGCACTGAGGTGCTTGTTAAAGGAGCAGGAGTACCCATCATGCCTTTCTGCTCCTCCTCTTCATCCTGTGACACGTTCTGAATTTTATTACTGCCCCAAATTATTCCTGTGAACTTCAACCTCACATCGCTCACACTGATCCCACTAATGTGCATCCAACCACACTCCAGTAATCCACATCTATCACAGCCCCCCCAGCTCCACCCACCTCCACCTCCACCCTGTTAATCTATATTTTCAGTCAGACACAGTTTGTAATCTCTTAACAGGATTGAGAAAATCAGAGAGAACCTCATCAGGTCAGCAGGGCAGGGGATAATGAGTGCGTGTGTGTGTGTAAAGGAGGATGAAACTAACAAAGAAGGATAAAGGCTTCATCGCCAGCAGGTGGATTCTGTGGGAATCTGATGGTCAGAGGTTTCCTGACCATCAGTGACAAGAAGGAGTCCTGCAGCAGATGGTGAGGTCGCCACAGTGCCCTGACATCATTGAGTCGATCTGGGATTAAATGAGGAAGACTCAGACAGCCTAAACCATCCGAAGGACGGCGGCAGGTTCTCCAAGACAGAAGCAGGAGCGCAGCAGGAGCCTCGCCTTACGTTTGACCAATGCATCGAAACCGTTTTCACCAAATCTCAGACACCTGCATGGCGCCACACCCGCTCATTCTGAAACTACAGCACTTCCCCCTGACCTTAATTCAAGTGTGACAGGTCAGCCAATCAGATTACTTCACTTTCATTTAAACTCACGGTCACGCCTTTTTGACCCGTCAGCCGATCAGATTTCATTAATCGAGGCCAACTATATGTGAATCCCAGCTGGTCAAACTTGTTCACAAACTTATTTCAAATCTATACTTAAAGATCTCATTTTCAGCCTCCGGACCAAACGGAGTCTGCACCTCCTCAGCCTCGCTGCCGTCCTTCCTGCTTCATAACCACGCCGTCAGCAAAACTGCAGCACGCCGCAGCAGAGCACACGCCTTCAACTTATTGTGACTAAAGAACTGCTGAGGCTCAGGAACACCTCAGACAAACAGAGCAAGGACGCCAGGAGGAAATACGATCCTTTCGCCTCGCAATACGATATGGCGAGTTGCAGCAGCGGCAGCAGCAGCGGCAGCAGCAGCGGCAGCGGTGGGCTTTAATCAATCATCAAGAGTCAAATTAGATAATGGCTCAGCGTGTGGAACCACCTGATTGCACACAAAGCCCCTACAGGTGGACTCAAACTCACAGAGGTGTAAGGCATCACTTTCCTGACCCTAAAACACCACAGACAGGAAGGTGGCGAGCTCAAGGAGCAGGCTGAGGGCGGAGAAGGTGAAGTAACGAGCTAGAGGCTTGCAGGCCCTGCTGCCCTCTGCTACCGTGACATCCACGCACTCTGGACTTCTTTATCTGCTTGTCAATCAATCACAACAGCCAATCGATCAGCCTTTACTTCCTGGCACGGTCAATAACAGGAGCGGCCACAGCACATGCATCTGAGTCCAGAACCAAATTCAACCTGCACCCGTCTGTAGTGTGTGTCTGTAGCGCAGCTCAGACGTGTAAACCTCATGAAACCGTGAACACTCAAAGCTAATTACACGCCTAATCACATCCTGTTTGCACTCGTACAAACATAAACAAATCTGTGTGTGTGTGTGTGTTTCTGCAGGCTGCAGGTTACAGTGTGGAGCTGCATCAGTTCTTGGTCAGTTAACAACACCTACTGTGCGCGCAGTACACACACACACACACACACACACACACACACACACACACACACACACACACACACACACACACACACACACACACACACACCAGTGATCCAGAGTTCGTCTGCAGGGCACTCTCACTTCTCTTCTAATGGAACGTGTCGTGTGTAACTAATAGAAAAATCTTATCACTGCTGGACATCTCTCACATACGCGCACACACACACACACACGGCTGCTTTCTCAAGGTCGTTCTGATACTCGTAGGAAGTGTGTGTGTTTGAGTGTGTGATCTGCAGGAGGACAGACAGCAGTGAAAGCTTCAGGAGCATCAGAAACATCATGGCACACAAGCACTGATCATACAGACAACACCTCTGCCTCCCCTTCAATCACACACACACACACACACACACAGGTGTGAGTGCAGCCAGCTCATCAAGGGGTCAAACGAATTCAAGCTTTTAAATTCCTCCTTCTGTTTGTGTGTGTGCAGTATGTGTGCGTGCGCATCCTCTTTCCATCATCCTTTCCCCTCACTCTGTTTCTGTGCTCTTTCACTTCTCCTCAACCACCCACAGATCCCCACCCCTCCATTGCCTCCACCTTGTCTCGCTGTAGCAGAGCAGAAAGGTGAAGCCGAGCATCACGACACACCCCGCCCCTCCCTCTCAGTCGATGCTTCCCTGCATCTACAGAGTCACGACTCCTTAATGGTGCGAGAAGGGCAGCTGAGGCGGAGGAGATGGCAACATGGAGGATGAATCTTTTTTCCTGCTTTCCTGAAAGCACCTGAATGCAACAATGGGACCTTTTTACCCAGGCTGAATCACAATGCGACGGCAAAATTAAGATATGATGGAGTACCTTTCTGTACATTTCACTCTGACACAAACAGACTAACAGCTGCCCATGAGCCAAATACATCCCATCGATCAACAACAAATAATCAATCAGCTTCTTTCCAAGACCGCGGCCACTAGTCACCTTTACCACTCTCAACTCGTTCCAGATGCTGACTAATGAAGCCAGTTTCTGTCTAATATGTGTTGACGCACCTGCTCCTGAGACCCAACGATCCGCTCACATTAAAGAAAGCTTAATCACCCAGTGACCCCCGAGTTTCACCATCAACACAGTAAATGGTAAATGGCCTGCATTTGTATAGCGCTTTTCTAGTCCATAGGACCCCAAAGCGCTTTACACTACATTCAGTCATTCACCCATTCACACACACACATTCACACACTGGCAATGGCAAGCTACATTGTAGCCACAGCTGCCCTGGGGCGCACTGACAGAGGCGAGGCTGCCGGACACAGGCGCCACCGGGCCCTCTGACCACCACCAGTAGGCAAACATGGGGTTAGTATCTTGCCCAAGGATATTTGGCATGCAGCCAGGAGGCAGCCTGGGATCGAACCACCGACCTTCTGATTAGTGGCTGACCTGCTCTGCCACCTGAGCTACAGCCACCCACCCAGTAAAACCCACAGAGCTGTGGATCACCCATAAACATGTTAAGTGGCAGACAGACACGCTGTAAAAGACGATGATTTGAATACTTCATCTAAGATTTTTAAACCTTAGGAGGATCGGGGCACGTGGCTGAAAGGTCAGAGTGCAGCCAAGAGCAAAAAGCGGCATCGTCCCAAACCAGCCATAAGCATCAATTATCAGAGCTCACGTGCAAACATCAGTTCCACAGAGGACCGATTCGCAGGCGCTCATTCCACTGACATCCCTGAAACTACAGATGGATCAGGACCAGCAGCTTTCCCGAGGATGCCTCAGCTCTCCAAGCAGCCCTGAAACCCACGCCGCTCCTGATCTCTCCTCTCCGAGTCTAAATATGGAAGTTATTTTTGCAGCCACGCTCGTCATCCATCTCTCCCCTCTCTCCTCAGGGAGCAGCTCTAATGCAGTGAGAGAGACGCAGGCAGACCTGCAAACATCAGCAGAGCCTCCTGCCTTCTCCATCACAGAAACCCATGCACCCCCATAGACACCCACACACCCATAGACACCTACAGACATAAAACTGAAGGAAGAAAAGGAGGAGGTGAGCAGCTCTTGGGAGAAAAGGTTCAAAGTTCAATGTTCCAGTGTCACTTTATCCTTGGTGTGTGTCTGTTTGTCCGCATGTGTGGGCGTGTGTGAAGTATGGGGCTGTCACTGTATCCTCCACCCCTCCTCGCCAGGCCACCCCACAATTTGTTTTGTAACTCTAGCAGCTTGGACGGGGGGCACTCTGACCTTTATCCTGGACTGTTGGTGTGTGTGTGTGTGTGTGTTGGGGCGCTGGTGTTGTGGGGTTAAAAAGGGCACAGTGAGAAACAGCTGTGCCAAAGAGCGGCACATACTAGACAGTAAATAAAAACACACAGACAGAAAAAGGCCTGGGGCTGCTCCACACGCCTCCCACTGCCTCTGAGCCCACTCCACGTCTAACAGAAAGGTCGCAGGTTCGATCCCAGCAGCGGACATGCCCTGAGCAAAACAAAAGGCCTTCCAGCCTTTCACACACACCATTTCAAAACAGTGCAGATGTGACACATGCTAAGCTGCACAGCTGCTGATTCTGCAGTGTGCTTCTCACACCGTAAAGATGATCCAGCAGGTTTCACGCACATAGAATAAGTGTGTTATATTTGCACGCATCACGGAAAGCTCAGCGTTCTTCAGCCATCAGCCAGCTGATCCCTCCAATCAGGAACCCTATGTGGAGAAACAGAAACACAGGTTGACAGTGACCTCATCCATGTACCATGTGACCTGATCCCTACTGAAGCTCACCTGACCCCTTCCTCCCCGCACACCTCTACGCGCATCCATATCACGGCATAGAGGGCAACGACGAGCCAGCCCAGTCACACTCGGCCAATTATGGAATTATGTAAAGTTGTAATAAACTTGCAACCAATGGCTACAAAGTCCCGGAAGTAAACATGTCAGACTCTCACTGCAGA